GCAGTGTTACTGACTGCAATATTTAAGGTGAAAATTGCCAAAAGCGATGACGATATGGAGGGCGGTATAGCTCCAACTGTGCAGTTCAAAGAAAGCAACGAGTATCCTGTGGTGTTCAAATGGCATTGCTCTGCAACAAGGTCTGCCATAATTTTTGTGGATCTATGTTACAGTGCAGTCTGGAAGATAATAACTCTCTCTCGCATCAAAACTGTCTCAGTATGATTTCCAGCTTTTATTGATATGAGTTTCACTGCATATCTGATATGAGTTTAAAGGTCTCTCATAATATATACTTTTAATGTGGTAGTCAACATTATAGGTCGCCTATATATTCATAAGTTTTTAGGTCTAATTACTTGTGCACGTATCACCCTTTCTTTCCCTTCTCAAGTTGTAATCTCTTCTCTTCACATTGAAATTGTCTTATAGTTTCTATCTTTTGTCTGGATTCCTTGGATAAGGTTCGATAATTCGCGCCTTATTTGACATTGACATATTTCCACCTTATTATAGCTTACGTTTTGCCATCTAGCTATTTTATTAGAGGTTTCTGTACTTTTTTTCAAATGAAAGTGAATTTTTTTCTTTGTAGTAACTTCCATTCTACCGACTTGCTACATTTCAGTCAGCCTCGCTCTGTGTATATTTGTGGCTCATGGGATGGGTGGCGTCAAAAAATCCCATTGGTGAAATCCGCAAATGACTTCAGCACCATTCTTGAGCTAACACCTGGTAAGCAACTACTTTCATCATGCTTCTTTGATCAAATGTGGGCCTTTATTAACTTCCTCTTCACATTTCCGTATGATAATACCGTCATCAGTGTATGCAGTTTTGATGTGTATGCAAATTCCGCCGCAGCGAAATTTTGTTTCAGCATTGATCGGCGCTAAAAAGCGTAATAGCGTGGCGAGACTGGATTAAAAATGCCTGATCTCAGTCACATATATATCTTGGCATCATTGTAGGCCATCATGAGTACAAGTTTATGGTTGATAACAAGTGGGTGGTGGACGACAATCAGCCAAAAACAAATAATAATTTGGGGGGCGAAAACAATGTGATGTCAATTGACGAAGATGATTTTGAGGTAAGTTTGTTTCTGCATTTGAAACAGTTTACTTGATCGTTTTTTTTTTCCTTAAAAACTCCATTATCATAGGTTTTTGATGCCCTTGACAAGGATCTGGCTTCTTCAAATGCTGGAGAAGCAATGCGAGGTGCTCCAAATCACCAGCCTTCTCATGATACTCCAAATGACAGGTTTATTCTTATCAGAATTCCATATGGTAAATGTAAATAGAGAAGGGCATTGTTTATTTCAAAGTAGTCATAGTAAAATTAATTCTAGAAGCCCTAGCAATTATTTGTATGCTTAAGGGAGCTCGAAAAGCTACGCACATTTTCTCAAGACATCCCCGACAGAAATGAATTTGCCAAGGCTCACAATCCACCTGCTCTGCCCCCTCACCTTCTCCAGGTACAGATTTTTGAACTCATGTTATATCAAAACGTTTTTCTTTCTCCACTTTTTACACGATATGCGCATAACGTGTTATAATGTTTTAGGTCATTCTGAACAAGGATACTCCTGTACAATGTGATCCAAATGTGCTACCAGAACCTAATCACGTGATGCTCAATCATCTTTACGC